GGGGGGGCACGAGGCAGCGGGGGGGAGGGGCACAGAGGCGGCCTCTGTGACTCCTGCTGTCACTCGTCACTCACCATACACCGCACCAGGTCGTCCCCAGCTGCTTGCAGTCGGTGACCTCCACCCTCACCCCGCCAGGAGGGGTGAGGGTGCGGGAGTGGTGTGGGAGGACTGCCTGCTCAACCTCGGACCCGGAGTCAGGGCCCCCGGCACTGCGGCTGCCCCTGGCCCCTGGGGACAAATGGCGGTGTCGCAACCACACAGCGGGTGTTTGATCTGCACTTTGGCCCGTGCCTCCTCCCAGTGTCTGATAACCCGGTGACCCCCTGTGAGTGCCTGATAACCCCGTGACCCTGCCTCTCCACTCAGGAACCGGATCCTCAAGCCACCTGTGGTCTGGGCCTGTTCCAACAGATTCCTCACGGGGACTCGCTGGGCACCTGCTTGCTCGCCCTGCCCTCCCCTGCCCTCCTTCTTGTCCCCCCTCTCCTGTCCTTTACCCTGTCCTGTCCTCCCTTCCCTTGCTCTCAGATGCCTTTCCCTGACATCTCCTCTCCTCCTCTCCCCTACCCTCCCCTGTTCTTCCCTGCACTCCTCTTCTTGTCCTGCCCTCCCTCCACCTGCCCTCCAATGCCTAACCCTAGTCTTCCCCTCTCCCCTGCATTCCCCTCTCTGGTGTCTCCCTCTACCATGGTCTCAAACAGGGTCACCTGCACACCCTAACCCTCCCTGCCCGATACCTGGGGATCTTTGCTGCGACCTGAGTCTCCTCCTGTCCTTGGCATTGACCTCATGACTTCAGACTTAACCTCAACCACCCCCCACATTGACCTTGTGACCTCAGGCTTGACCTCAGGACCCCCCCCCCCGTATGCGCTTAGAACCTTCCAGAACATGTCACGGGTGTCCCTGTTCTGTACACCTCATGGGGGTGTTCCTGTTCTGTGTGTGGTGTGTGCCCGTGCAGGTTCGTTGTACATGCATGGCCTCAGGCTCCGGTACCACAGGGCCTTTGGGCTTCCTCCGGAGGCGACCAGACCCGGATGGGGCCACGTGCAAGGAGACCGCAGCGAAGCCGGCGGATCCTGGGCCAGGGAGGGGGTGGCGAGAGCAGGGGCTGCTTGGATCCCTGCAGCCCAAGGATGTCACAGGGCCCTGGGAGGACAGGGTGGAACTGGGTGTGACTGTGCAGTGACGGCTGTTCGGCTGTTTGGATGGAGCAGAGCAGAAGCAGGAATCCCGGAATTGTGCCCTCACAGGGACAGGGGGCTCCACACAATTGCAAGTGT